ACTACTACCACTTTCACCACCACTACTACTACTACTACTACTACTACTACTACTACTACTACTACTACTACTATTACTACCACTACACTACTACTACTACTACTACTACTACTACTACTACTACTATTACTACTACTACTACTACTACTACTACTACTACTACTACTACTACTACTACTACTACTACTACTACTACCACTACTACCACTACTACCACTACTACTACAGTATATCGTTGCTATTTACCTAACAGCTTGTGCTGATAGGTTTCTAGTGGTGTCAAAAGAGAACATCTTGACGCCCCAGGGGGGTCTGGGTGGAACCCGGACAGAACCAGACAGCCCCAGGAATTTTCAGGAGTCCTTAAGACTTCTTAGGAATCCTTATAAATCCTTTCCCATAACACCATTCCCAGGCCAAATTTTGAATGCCCGGAAACAACTGTAGGCCACTTCTTGTTCTTCGTGTTCCCAGAACACGATTCCCAGGCCAACTTTTGAATGCCAGGAGCCAACAGTAGGCCACTTCGTGCTCTTCGTGTTCCCAGAACACCATTCCCAGGCCACATTTTGAATGCCGGGAGCCAACAGTAGGCCACTTCGTGCTCTTCGTGTTCCCAGAACACCATTCCCAGGCCACATTTTGAATGCCCAAAGCCAACTGTAGGCCACTTCGTTTTTTTTTCATGTTCCCAGAACACAATTCCCAGGACACATTTTGAGCTGAGGCAGGCTGAGGCTGTGGCTGAGGCTGAGGCAAGCTGCGGCTGAGGCAGGCTGAGGCTGAGACTGATGCAGGCTGAGGCTGAGGCTGGCTGAGGCTGAGGCTGAGGCAGGCTGAGGCTGAGGCTGAGGCCGAGGCAGGCTGAGGCTGAGGCTGAGGCAAGCCGAGGCAGGCTGAGGCTGAGGCTGAGGCAGGCTGAGGCTGAGGCAGGCTGAGGCTGAGGCTGAGGTTGATGCAGGCTGAGGCTGAGGCAGGCTGAGGCTGAGGCCGAGGCTGAAGGCAGACTGAGGCTCAGGCTGAAGCAGGCTGAGGCTGAGGCTGAGGCTGAAGCAGGCTGATGCTGAGGCAGGCTGAGGCTGAGGCTCAGGCTGATGGAGGCTGAGGCTGAGGCAGGCTGAGGCTGAGGCCGAGGCTGAAGGCAGACTGAGGCCGAGGCTGAAGCAGGCTGAGGCTGAGGCTGAGGCAGGCTGAGGCTGAGGCTGAGGCAGCCGAGGCTGAGGCTGAGGCAGGCTGATGCTGAGGCAGGCTGAGGCTGAGGCTGAGGCAGATGCAGGCTGAGGCTGAGGCAGGCTGAGGCTGAGGCCGAGGCCGACGGCAGACTGAGGCTGAGGCTGAAGCAGGCTGAGGCTGAGGCAGAGGCAGGCTGAGGATGAGGCTGAGGCTGAGGCAGGCTGATGCTGAGGCAGGCTGAGGCTGAGGCTGAGGCCGATGCAGGCTGAGGCTGAGGCAGGCTGAGGCTGAGGCCGAGGCTGAAGGCAGACTGAGGCTGAGGCTGAGGCTGATGCAGGCTGAGGCTGAGGCAGGCTGAGGCTGAGGGATGCTGAGGCTGAGAGGCTGACGCTGAGGCTGAGGCAGGCTGAGGCTGAGGCTGAGGCCGAGGCAGGCTGAGGCTGAGGCTGAGGCAAGCCGAGGTAGGCTGAGGCTGAGGCTGAAGCTGAGGCAGGCTGAGACTGAGGTTGAGGCAGTGGCTGAGGCTGAGGCAAGCTGCTGCTGAGGCAGGCTGAGGCTGAGGCTGATGCAGACTGAGGCTGAGGCAGGCTGAGGCTGAGGCTGAGGCAGGTTGGGACTGAGACAGGCTGAGACTGAGGCTGAGGCAGGCTGAGGCTCAGGCAGGCTGAGGCTGAGGCCGAGGCAGGCGAATCCTTTGGAATCCTTAGGATTCCCTAGGGATCCTTAGGAATCCCTAGGAATCCCTAGGAATCAGGATTCCTAAGGTTTCCTAAAAGGATTCCTATGGATTCCTGAGGATGCCTAAGGATGCCTTAGAAGTCCCTAGGAATCCTTAGGATTCTATTGGATCCTAAGGCCGTTGCCACTGCGACTGTCATTGCGAATGCGACTGCGACTGCGAGAACTGCAGAATTCTACACCTGGATTCTCACCTGAATCTTAAGGGGAATGCTTCCAGATATGCTTATACTCATCGCTATTAGGCTGCTTTGCCGGGATAGATTCTATAAATGAAACGTCACCCGAAAAGCTGGTCCAGCGTTCCTTCACCGACCCGCTGGAAAACAGGCCCAGGTTGACAAGCACATTTGCCCCTCCGGTGTTAACAACAGGATCTGGCCCAGGTTTGTTTTAAGAGATTTTCGGGGGGCTGGCCCAGCTTGTCCAATGATAACACCGTTGATCACCTGTTCAGTTGTAATGCTGCCAACATTTCTATATTTCAAACTTACGACTGTGATGAGTAGTGCTACACTTCTGACTACGACTACTACCACTACTACCACCACCACCACTACTACTACTACTACTACTACTACTACTACTACTACTACTACTACTACTACTACTACTACGACTACTACGACTACTACTACTACTACTACGACTACTACTACTACTACTACTACTACTACTACTACTACTACTACTACACTACTACTACTACTCTACTACTACTACTACTTCTACTACTACTTCTACTACGACTACGACTACTACTACTTCTACTACTACTACTTTTTTTTTACTACTACACTACTACTAGTGTTACCGCTACTGCTACGACCACCACTACTACCACTATTGCGGCTATTGTCACCGCAACTATT